TATATATTTTTTGCCACATGTTCAACTAAGAGAAGAAAATATTCAACTGTAATTGTTGATTTACTTTTTCCTTTTTTTTAAGTAATTCTGTCTTGTGATTTATGATTTTAAGGATATATTGTTAAGCATATATAAGTTCATGATTATAATATCTTCATCTATACTTTGTTTTACCAGTACATAGTGCTGCTTTTTCTTTCTTTCTGTGTTTCCTATCAACTACGTATTTATTGTCTTTGTGTATGAACTGGTGAATTGTAGCTCATTTAATCAGAGGGGTGCCCATTCCCAATTTCATTTTCTATTCTTTGCTTCCAGAGGTAACTGATATTCTGACTTTTGTCATAATCATTTTCTTTCTTAAAAAAATTTTAGTGCTTATGTATTGTCCAAGTCTGACATCATAATCATTCATTATCTGAATTGGGAAAAAAGTGGCTTTATTATGCAGTTAAGGGAAAGCTGTGCTGATTAGTCACAGTCTCCCTGGGCAGAACACACTAATGATATTTATACAAGGTTTTTGGAAGTATGAAGTTCAGAAGCTGGCCAACTTACAGAGGTGGGAATGGGTTGGCATCAACTTTAGACACATGCTTACCCAGGTTATACTGTTCTTGACAGTCTTTAGAAGCGTGTCCTTTAGAGTTAGATCAGTTCCTTTTTGGCTGAATTAAGAAATACTCACTGGTTATTTGTATTGTGTTCTTTAATTTGAATTTGGTATTCTTTTCATGATTAAGGTTTTGCGTTTTTGGCAGAACAGCCACAGTCAAAATGTCATACCTTTCTCATTGCATTGTATCAGGAAGTCCGTAATGACGCTACAACTCTATTTACTGGTGGTTCTAACCTGGATCATTTGGTTAAGGTTCTGGAAGCCAGGTTTCTCCACTACAAAATTAGTTTCCCTTTTATAATTTAGAAATATCATCTGGGAAGATACATTGAAACTGTAACATTCTCTTTCTCATTTTCACCCACTGATTGTAGCATTCATTGATAATTCTGTCTTGCAGTAATTATTACTGCAATTTTTGCTGAATGATAAGTTTCTATTTTCATTCTTCCTTTTTTTTTAAAAAAATTGGAAGTCTATTATAAGAATACTGTTCACACCACATTTTTTTTATAAGGGCATCTGTGTTGTTGTTTTAAATTAATGCTTTGTTTACTTCACTAAACACAAACTGGCTAGCTAACCCTTTTCAGTATCAGGACTGTCACATTTTTAATCTAACTCAGCTTTTCAAAAACGTATCTTCTTCCTCCTTATCCTCAGTTAATTATCTTTTGGGTGTCTTAGTGCTCCTATTTGGTGGTAAGACTTAGGAAGCTAGATGGCAATGGCATGAATAGGAATATATTGCCTAAGAGTATGAACAAAATAATGATTTTATTTGAGGCATAGTATTTAGCTGCTGTTGGGAATCCATGGAGAGGCACATAGCAGAGAAGTGGAAATATATATCAGGATTCAACTAGACTCTAAAAGTGGTAAACAGACATGTAAAGAAAATGATGAGTTTCGTGGAAGAGAGCAGAGTGGGGATGTCAGTCCTAGTAGGGCACTAGAACATGGTATCAGGCATTGCAGTTTAAGCACTGAGGAAGGTTTCGGTAGGGTTGTATGTGAAATATGCTAGCCTGTCATGTGTTGAAGCAGGGAAGAGAGTTCTTTTTAACTTTCATTTTAGGTTCAAGAGTACATGGGCAGATTTGTTATATAGGGTAAACTGTATGTTACAGGGATTTGGCGTACAGATTATTTCATCAATCAGGTATTTTTTCTGATCCTCTCCCTCCTCTCATCTGCCACTCTTGTTAGTCCCCAGTGTCTTATTTCCTGCGTGTGTTGTGTGTTCTCTCGTTTAGCTCCCACCAAAATTCTTAACGTGATCTAAAGGCCTTGTCTAACATCACATAAGCAGGCTTGAGTTAAGTTCCTTTCTGTTTTTAAGACATAGGTACTTTTTCTTAGTTCCATTGTGCCTTTGAATATTGATGTGTGTTCTTCCTGGAGCGGAATCCCATGCCTGCCTCTGTGCTGTGGGATCTAGGGAGGATTACGTAATTCTGTAACATTCTCTTTTCAATCTATGAAAAAAAGGTGAATATTAACCTGGTTATTATTTCTCACCCAGAATCTTGCTGTCTTCTCATAGTCTCCCTACTTCTTCCTTTGGTCCCCATTGTCTATTTTGCTTGACATATACCTTAATCATGAAAAATGAAAATCCTGTGATGTCGTTTCTCTGTGCACAGCATGTCATTGGCTTCTTTTCTCATTGAGAAAGAACCCTATTATCATGACTTATAAGGGCCTGTGTGAAGCTTCATTTCTGCTCACTGCCCTCACGCAGCCCGCCCTAGCTGCACTTCCCTTCCCAAGCATCCTCCAGCTGCAGCGCCTTTACATAGTCTGTTCCACCTGATGAGAACACGTTTTCTCTGCATGTAACTGTAAACTCCCTTCCTCACCTCCTTTATTTAGAGCTTTGCTCGGATGTCGTCATATCAGCGTGTTCATCATTGACTACTCGTTATAAAAATAATGCTTCATCGTTTGTTTTTCCCCTTACTTTGATTTGCTTTTATGACATTTACTGCCATCTTACATGCATTTGTGTATTCACTGTCTGACTTCTGCCACAAAATTTTTTGAGAGCTAGCACTTTCTCTCTTTTATCCACTATTGAATTTCCAACCACTGCAACTGCATCCGAGACATGATCTGTGCTGAAATTAACCTTTACTGAGTTACTACTAACAGTAAACCTTAGAAACCATTTATTATGACATGCCAGTGTGTTGTGGGTGTGTTCACTGACTCATTTATTTCTTTCAACACTCTTACAAGGAAATTGAGGCACAGAGAAGTGATAGCGAACAGTGAATAAGTGGCATGGCCAGAATTCAGGTGTAGGTGATCTTTATCTAGTGCCCATGTTCCTTATGCTTCTCTAAAAAGAAATCTCTGTGTAACATGCTTAGCACAATTTCTGTCACACACTAAATACTCAGAAAATGTTAGTTGATAACATCATCAGCATCAGAATGCTGGATGCTAAGAGAATGGATGTGGAGCCAGGCTGCCCATTGTTTCATTTTGGACCTCAGTTTCCTTATTTTTAATATGAGAGCTTCCTCCAACCCAAAAAAAATAAATAAAATGGGAGGCTTATTCATACCAAAAGCCTCCTTGGACCTGTTTGAATTATTGACATGTAACCATGGAACTTTATTATTTTTGAGCATTTTTCTAGTCTGCAGAATCCCATGCCTGCCTCTATGCTGTGAATAATTATACCTTTCTTCTCTGGTTATTAAGTTGATTAATATTAAATTGATTAAGAGAAATAGTACATAGGCCGGGTGGCTCATGCCTGTAATCCCAGCATTCTGGAAGGCCAAGGCGGTCGGATTGCTTGAGCTCAGGAATTCAAGACCAGCCTGGGCAACATGGCAAAACCCCAGCTCTACTAAAAATACAGAAATTAGCCAGGTGTGGTGGCATGTGCCTGTAGCCCTACCTACTCCAAAGGCTGAGGTGGGAGGATCACTTGAACCTGGGGAGGCAGAGGTTATAGTGAGTTGAGATCCTGCCCCTGCAAAAGAAGAGAGAAATATTTCACATAAGTTAGGTGCCTGGTAAATCCTAAATTCAAAATAAATGAAATCTGTTATACTTGTATAATAACTCAATGTAGAATATCAACAGTAAGTTCTTGAACTTTTTCTGAGAGTAAAAGTGAAACGGAATCTAATTGTTTGGCAATTTTGTATTTTAGTAAGTTGGACATTTAAAAGTCTTAGCAGAACATGCATATATGTACCAAACTTTTCTTCCTCAAAAGATTACCTTAAAATTTTGTTAAATGGTTAAAAAAATACCATTAATCCACAGAATAGAAGAGGATATTCACTATGTCTAACAAAGGCCTCAAATCTAGAATCTGTAAAGAACACCTACAAATCAATAGCGGGCGAAGGAGAAAAGGTAGACCATTTAGTAGGAAAACAAGGACAAAAAGTTGAATATGGCCAGGAGGGTAGGCTCACAGCTGTAATCCCAGCACTTTGGGAGGCCCAGGTGGAAAGATTTCTTGAGGCCAGGAGTTCAAGACCAGCCTAGGCAGCATAGTAAGACCCTGTCTCTATAAAAAATAAAAAACTCAGTAGGCACTTCACAAAAGAAGACATTCAAAATGGTTAAAAAGCATGTGAAAGTACTCACTTTCATTATTCGCCAAGGAAATGCCAATTAAAATCACCATGCACTATTATAGTTGCCAATCAGTACGAGTAAAACAAAGAAAATGTCAAGTGGAGACAAGGATATAGAAGAACTAGAACACCCTATGCTATTGCTGGGAGATTGACTTGTTACAGCCCCTTTGGCATGCTGTTTGACAATGTCTGCTAAAGCTAATGGATGTATTTGTTGTAATCCAGTGGTTGTACTCCTAGGCATATATGCAACCAAAATGTGTACATATGTTTACCAGAGGATACATATATAAGGGTGTTCATATGGGTAGACGCACACATACAAATAAAGAATAAGAAAGATAAAGAGCATTCTGGTGATGTTGGTTTGTTTTAATCATGTTTAAAGCTTAGCTTTCTGAGCAAATAACAGTGCAGTTCCACTGTGCAATTCCACTGATAAAGATTTAGACGTGGAAGCTCATGGAAGATGTTAGAAGTCAGGGCAATTCGGCAGTGTTGGAGAATGCCCCATGGGGCTGGGAGGACTTCTGGGCTTCTTATCATGCTGTGTTCCCTTGATTCATTGAGCTGTAGCACATTTGTGATTATGTGCTCCTTTTTGGTGCTAAAATACTTAAAAATTACATTTAAAGATTAATTGATTGTACCTTATATTTAAAATCATCTTTCAGAATAATTAGGGATGCCATACTCAGGATAATATTGTAATTATAGACTGTAAATTGAGAAAATGACTAATTTTGTTCTGTTTCATGAATTATTTTTAGATATGAATTGAGAATTCGTTATTTGCCAAAAGGATTTCTAAACCAGTTTACTGAAGATAAGCCAACTTTGAATTTCTTCTATCAACAGGTATTAAAGGCTGCTTTAATATACTTTCTTGTTTGTTTCTTTGAATCCTATTTGTTACATACTTTTATTTTCAAATTTGATTAAAGCTCACATTTGGAAGAATACCAATTTGTTGCTGAATGGCAATAAGAATCTTTTAACCAGTAAGAAATTACTAATTTTTTGTGTTTTGAGAATTTTTGTATACTTGAGCAAATCTTAAAGGTTAACTTCTATTATGTGGAGATAGTAAGTCTACAACTATTTCTTGAGCTTTAATTTAAATGCACTTATGCCTGAATAGCAACAAATTTGTCATAGGTAGAAATTGTTGCAGAGTCAACTATACCCATATAAAATTGATAGTGCTTTGCTATTTATGCCATAAGTAATTAGACAATAAATATATGTAACATAAAATGCCAAAAATGCTAATAAACATCAAAAAGACATTTGTACATAAAATTTTGACATTAAATGTATTTGGCAAATTTTTTTGCTTTAATAAAACTATTCATTAACTATTCTGGACCAGGATTGCAGAAATAGATTGCATAATCCACACCTTTAAATTCTTCTGTCTAGTGGAGGATTCCTGTAAACAGTTAATTTGTGTTTGATCCTTTGCTGTTAGTAATAAGCATGTATGATGTGACTGTGCATAGAAGAGTCTGCTGCCCTAGTATAGATTTGGTATTGAGATCGCTCCACTGAAAAACATTTGAGGAGTCTCCAACTTTGTAGAATAAGGAAGAGTTGTGTTTTCTAGACAAGAACATGGTCTAGAAAACAATGGGGAGAGAGAAAATATGGTGCAGTCTTAGCTAAAATAGTCGATAACATTTTGGTAAGAGAGGGACCATGTACATCATTTAAACAAGGGTTTAGGTTTTCTCCTGCAATATTGGGAGCCATTTAAAAACTTCAGTTAGCGAGGGTGGGTGCGGTGGCTAATGCCTATAATCCCAGCACTTTAAGAGCCTGGGGAGGGCAGTTCTCGAGGTCAGGAGATGGAGAAACCCCACCTCTACTAAAAGCACAAAAATTAACTGGGAGTGGTGGTGGGTGCCTGTAATCGCAGCTACTCAGGAGACTGAGGCAGGAAAATAGCTTGAACCAGGGAGTTGGAGGTGCAGTGAGCCAAGATCGTGCCACTGCACTTGAGCCTGGTGATACACAGCCAGACTGTGTCTCAAAACACAAAAAGGAAAGAACAACTTCAGTTAGCAAATGCCCTAACCAGAATTGTTTTGGGAGCTCACTCTGATTAGATGGTAGTATCAGGGATAGATTGAATTTTTAAAAGGTTGTAAGCATGTTTAGAGGCTCTTCAATCATTCTGGGAAATTAGATAAAAGTGAAAGTATGTTATAATAAGCAAATTTCGTAGATGGATTTGATAGGACCCAGAGATTGAACTAAAATCGGATGTGAAAATAAGGAAGAATAAGACTTATTATGTAAGTCTAGACATCTAGTGCCATGAAAGAGCAATGGTGGATTAGATTCAAAAGAAGGAAGTAAGAAGGTAAGTTGTTCTGTATTTTTCTATGTGAGATAACGATCGATGTTACCACTTACAAGATTCAAACTCAGAAAGTAGGAAGCTAATGAAGTTTCTAATGATTGGCGGGGGTGTGTCTGTTTTCGTCTTGTCTGTGAAGTAGAGGTTGCATAGGAGATAGTTTGGGGACCACTGCCTTACCTAACACATTTTTGGCACCAGGGACCAGTTTCGAGGGAGACACTTTTTCTACAGACCAGAACCACAGGGTGTGGGTTGTGGGGTAGCGATTTCGGGATGAAACTGTTCTATCTCAGATCATCAGGTGTTAGATTCTCATAAGGAACACACAACCTGGATCCCTTGCATGTGCAGTTCACAGTAGGGTTTGTGCTCCTTTGAAAATCTAATGCCACTGCTGATCTGACAGGATGCAGAGCTCAGGTAGTAATGCTCACTTGCCCACAGCTCATTTCCTGCTGTGTGACTGTGTTCCTAACAGGCCACTGACTGGTAATGATCCATGGCCCAGGAGTTGGGGATCCGAGCAAGGGATTTTGTGACAAGTTTTGAGGCTTTATGATAATACCAGTGTTGAATAAGAAAGGGAGTTAAGTTGGCAAAATGAAAAGAAGGCATTTTCAGATTCCAGTTGAGCTTCTCGGAAGCCTACTCATTGCAAAAATAATGTTCAACTTACAACTGGTTCTCATAGATGTTATTAATCTCATCCTTTAGTAACCTTTTGAACTTCATATTTTGGTGAAGGAGTTAGGAGAGTTTAAATAACTTGTGTTTATTTAGCATTTTTCTCTTGGTATGTGATCTCTGTCATTATTGGTGTTATTTATTCGAAAAAAATTCTACCCACTGAGGAAATACATGGATATTTTAGTGACCTTGATTTCCAGAATGCATAATACAGGCCTAAATGACTCCTTTTTATAATTTCTAGGCTAATCTAAAAGTCTGCAACTTTTTTTTTTTTACCTTGTTCACACTGTTACTAGGTTGTCCTATTTTTTCTTTGTTGGAAGACTTACCTATATGATAAAGTCAGTACTGTATATAGCAGTGTATCCCAGATTTTCTTTTACTGATAGGACATGTTTTATGGTAGTCTATATAATTCAGTTCCGTGGTCTTTATAAAACCCACGAGAAAGCTAAGTGTAATGAACCTTTTAAAATTTCAGTCTATCCCTGATAACTGCTATCCAATCAGAGTGGTCTAAAAAAAAATGGGATGAAGGCATTCATTAAGTATAGTTAAGTGTAATGAAATTTTGCTGAAAGGAATATGTAGTGAATAGAGTCATGTGCTTGTTGTTCTGTATATAATAGCTCTGTGATTTTAGGTACCTCTGAGTCTTTTTTTGCTTGTTTCGTATACTAAAATATAGGTATGGAATAACTATCCTGTAGGACCATTATGTTCATTAAATGAGATAAAATTGTCTGCCATGTAATTGCCCAGTCATATTTTGAATTTCACTCTGTAGATGGTAACAGAAGATTCAGCATTTGCCATTTGCATATCACTACACAAGTGTGAGCTGCACATTATGGGATGGCACATATCTTGCCTTTTTTCTTCCTATGTGCGCTCTGTAGAACTTTTCAGCTCTTCCATACTACTTTTTGCTGTCATTCATTTCTACAGTTTCTCTTTTCACCTTTTGAATTTTTAAAAATCTGTTATATGGTACATTTTAATATTTTTAAATTTTATTTTATTTTTATAAAGACAGGGTCTTGCTCTGTTTTGTCCAGTCTGGAGTGCAGTGGCATGATTTTACCTTACTGCAGCCTTGAACTTGTGGGCTCAAGCAATCCTTCTGTCTCAGCCTTCTGAGTAGATGGGACTACAGGTGCATGCCATGATGCCTGGCTAATTTTTAAAAATGTTTTGTAGAGGCAGGGGTCTTGCTGTGTTACCTAAGTTGGTTTCAAATTCCTGGCCTCAAGCAGTCCTTCTTCGTTGACCTCCCCAAATGCTGGGAGTATAGGCACGAGCCACTGTGCTTGGCATGGCACATTTTTAGCAAGTTCAGAAAATAAATCTAAAACATTCTTAAATTATCTCTATTCTAATAATCATTTTAATATTGCATATCCTTTTATAATAGTTTATCAAGTACATACATTTTAAAAGAAAGTATAGTCATGGTCACATTCCTTTCCCATTGGCAATGTCGTTGTTTTTCCATGCTAGTGTCTCAGGCTCAAGTGACGGTAATTGGAGGGAGTTTAAGATGGTATCAAAGTCATAAAAAGGGAAGGAGAAAGAAAGAAAATACTATGGTTGGCTGGGGGCAGTGGCTCACGCCTGTAATCCCAGCACTTTTGGAGGCCGAGGTGGGTGGATCACCTGAGGTCAGGAGTTCAAGACCAGCCATGGCCAACATGGCAGAACCCCATCTCTACTAAAAATACAGAAATTAACAGGGCGTGTTGGCACATGCCTGTATCCCAGCTACTTGGGAGGCTCAGGCAGGAGAATAGCTTGACCCCAGGAGGCGGAGGTTGCATTGAGCCACGATCACTCCACTGTCCTCCAGCCGGGGCAACAGAGCAAGACTCTGTCTCAACAGCAAAATACTGTGATTTGTTAGAATGAATTGGCCCGTATACCAGAAGTCTTGAATGTGTTCATGTCCTCCAGTTTGTTGGGTGACCCTATTGACTACAGTCTTTACTGTAAGTAAAAAACAGTTGAAAGTTTCCTGCTTGGACCTAATAATTATACTTCTGTGAACTTATTCTAAAGAAATAATGAGGTTTACACATGTATGTGTGCATGCACAAGGATGATTATAGGCATATTACAGTAACAAGAAAGAAATTAGAGGCCTTGCAGATGTCTTTCAACAGATTAATTGTGCTGAGTTTCCCAAATTTATGTATCCCTCATTAATATGGAGGTACAGCTGTTCGTGGATATGGAAGGTATTGCATTAAATGCTGTTGTTGAAAACAGTATATGTATAAGACACGTATAATTTCATTTGTGTGGGAAAAAAATGCATATTTTAAAATTTTACCCTGATCAAGAAAGTTTTGAATATAGTAGGAGTTTTTATTGCTGGTTTGGTAAGTAATTATATATTTGACTTCTCCTGGTGAAGTCTCAGTGCAGAATCTGCCTTGGTACCTGCTTAGCAATTCCAGAACTATTATGCGTAATCCATATGTTGTTCTACACAGACAGCACCCAACTTGGGAAATGGTTTAATTCCAAAGTTTCAAAATCATTTTGGAATCCAGAGTTTTCACCTATTTAAACACACATGCAAATTGGGGGGTGGTGCATAAATCGGTAATTGTCCTCTAAAGCTTTCTATAGCCAGAGTATATTTATCTGAGAATGCAGCTGAAATGTTGTGTAAATATAGTGTGTGAGAATCTTCACTGAAGTATGTGATAAATTAATCACTTTATAATGGCCTCAGAATTTGATGACATGCATTCTATAACCTTTAAAGTCTTTAATATTTAATGCAAACATATAAGATGGA